GACGCAAATTTTGTTACCATTCCAGGTAACCAAAATGTGGCTAGATTGCAATGGATTGGCTACGAGAAATCCATAGCAAATGTTTGTTCTCGAATCGGAAATCGATGGCTACAACTGTTCCATAACGAATTAGCAACAACAAGAGCCATCCATCGCCATTTTGCCACGATGTCTAGGTATAACCAAGGAAAATCCGTCGCGATTCATAATCATATTGTACGATTAAATATGTGCAATCGCGTTTAAATTGTTATCGTAGGTTTGGTTAAGAAACTTTCCACAGCAATTTGTAGCTACGCTTCACTATATGAAAACATTTGATTGTTTCTCAGTCACTATTGGATTTACAACAAAATGTAATTAGTTTAACTGCTTATAAAACTCTTTCAGATTCTAATAGTTAATTAGACGTTGGAACCCACAAGTATTATCAAATGGCCCTCTCTGTTCTTGGTTTACGAAGGGCAAAACTTGCTAGAATTTTACTTGGACGTTTATGTAAAGAGTCATTTGAAACTGAAACACATCTAACAAAAAGAAAATTCTGATACATAAATTATTCTTAAAAGACTTCACTTAACTCGACTGGCTTTCGTTTATCTTTGGAATTTTCTTGTACTCGTACGCGTTTATGTCCACCTTCCCTTCCATAGCCTGCGGTAAAAGAAATCCGGACAAGATTTTAATGTTTCATCAAAAAGCTTTGATGCGGTCTAATCGTTTAAAATCATGTAACTTTGGAAAACTGAGCACACATATGTAAAGTACCTTGAGCTCCTCTTCGATGGATGTCTTTTTAGGTTTATAAGCATCAACGGGTCCTGTTCTCGAAAGCGCCTTCCTTGTCTCTATAATCTCCCATTCCTGATCATCTTTTACCTTTGCGATATCCTTACTGAACTAACCAAATAAACCATTATGTGGTGAAGTTGAGAATTCTAAACAGATATCCCCAGCAGAGGTTAGCTTAATAAAAGAAGAACTGACCTGCCTTGAAGGAGTTGACTGAGCCCGAGTGCTCCAAATACTGTGAGAGATATCATCGGAAGTCCATATCTCACAAATGGGTTTCTCCTTCCCCACCTTTTAAAAGATGACAATGGCTGCTTTTGAGTTTTCTGACCGGTTTCGATTGTTGTCATCTTTGTATAGAGCCACAAAGCAAATAACTACAAGGGAAATCAAAGAGTTAATACCTAGCTAGAATAAAGTAGTTATTTGCACATTTTCTGATGAATCATGCCATTTGTTGCAGTAGGAGAAACTGTCCTGCAGAACATAGATTGAGGGAAGAAATCGAATTACAGAGACCATAATGCAAAAGCCCAATCGATCTCACATATATAACGAAACTATATCGTTTTTTACCCTGAGCTTTTTTAAAATGATCTTCTCAATTCTCAATCATGTTAACCGTTCAAATAAGGAAAAAAACATGAGCAGAGCTATTATTTCGCAACATGAGCAGAGCTATTATTTCGCAACAAGAACAACCGCATGAAGTTACTGCAAAGCAATACCAAGTACAAAGAGACTATATCTGAAGAAACAGAAGATAGAAAGCAGACCGAAAAACAAAGTGTAGACTCTACAAGTGTGGCACCAGATGATATCCCAATCTAATCCAGCTACTGGTTATTATTATCTAAGAGGCTTCAAAATAAAGTTTCGATATCCCACAGAAGATAAATCCAAACATGATGAAATCAAACAAAACGAAATGACCTTGGAACAGCTTCCACTTGTTATTTTTCCTCCTCTTGTAACAACTACAGAGATATGAATACAAGTTTCATTTGAGTGTCATAACTTGCAAGTAAAGTCCATAATAGTACTATTATGCATTTGTTTCAAAGACAATCAAAACATGTCCTCTTCTCTTTTTATTGGAACACATTATTATAATACCAGAGAAGCATCTTCAACAACAGACAGATATCAAAATGTTCCATAACGGATCCATCTTGAAATCAAAAATCCAAAATGATAGTATTCAAACTACTAAAAAAATCAGATTCACAAGCTAAAATAAGCAATACGAGACCCCAAATGTCAACTAAAACACAAAACGAAAGTACCAAACTAAATCAGATTTGCACTAATAAAAAAAAATTCATAATCTCCAACAAGCCGATAGATAAAGAGTGGAGAAGGTTGAAGAGAAGCTTACCGAGATAGGCTTTGCTAGGTCGGATTATCGATTCGGGCACTGGTCAATCACAAGAAACAAATGCATAGAAAAGGGGCCAATCAGAAACTGAGACACCAAATCACAAATCTACTGAAAATTTTGCAAAAGTGAGAAAGATAAATCACAGGTTCGATATCGGACAAAGCATCAATTGAAATCAAAGCAAAAGCCCAGACACCATAATCGTGAGCAAGCGTTACCTTGAAGAAGAGTTCTTGGAGACTGGTGAGAGAGAAGAGAGATCGCAGAAATTCAGATTCAGAGATCAAATCGCCCTGCGAAAACGAAATAATGATGATTCTTTTGCATCGTTCCAGTGAAAACCGAACCGGTTATATAGTGACCAGGATGTTTAATTCCGGTCTGGTTTACTGTCCAACAAGTCGAAATTCGGCCCAAAGATTTATATTTTGTATCGTTAAAACTTTAAACCGAATTCGAACACAACCAAATGGGTGTCATAATATTTAAGCATCTAGTTTTTAAAAAAGCCGAAATAAACAATTTCATTAAAAAAAAAAAAAATCGAATGGAGACGTGAACGAACCGAACCGAACCGGTCGGTCTGATTGGCTAATAATCGGCGACCCGAATATCTATCTGGTCCGGTTTACGCTTCCAAAAAATTTCGTTGGAATTTTACCAATCGAATCCACATGTAACCATATAAATATTGTATCTATAGAAATTTTATTTATTTTGTGTGACGAATAAATATTTTAATTTCCAACGAGGTTCGTATTTTATTCATATAATATCTAATTCTTACTTTAATTTAAAGATTCGTATAATTGCATTTCAAATCCTACAAATCTTAATTCGGATTATCCCAAAATTCCGAATTTTTTGGTCCTTTCGGGTTAAATAAAACAATTCTTACGACTTCGTTTGTGGTTCATATTTTACAAAGTATCTCGTATTACGTACACTATTACAAGTATCTCGTGTAAGAAGTAGCAAAAAAGAAGAGAATGTCTAGCAAGAAAAATGAAAAATTACAATAAAGTAAAAGATGAATTAAACCAAATAATGAGTGATTGATACAATGAAGGGCTTACATTATAATACCTCACAAGTGAGAGGCTTACATGAACTGTTTCAGAAACTCTGTAGCAACGAGTCTTCCTCTGGTGTTCACCGAAATCTTTAACTCGCTTATTTCTTTCTCTATATCCTGCACTTTCCATACTATTAATTGTCATATTTCAAGCTTTTTAAAAACCTGACTAAGAGAAGATTATCATCATGTTTGGATGAGTAACTAATCTCTTGTAGAAACAATTCAAATGTAAAGGGCGTGGATTTATTGACCGTGGTTAGGCCAACCGTGATATAACATAACGATGCGTACTACTATTGTGTGAAACCAAGGTCATAGAATAATAAAAAAAAACATTAGGTTTGGAGAAAGACTTGCCTCCATAAACTGAACAATGAAATCGATTAGCTTCTGTTTCTGCATCTCTTCGCAGTGGTAGTTTGTTATAAGAAAACTAATGTCATAGCCCTGTTCAAAAGAGACCAAGAAAGAAACCAACTGACGGGGATGAGCGGATGAATCATTCACACAATGCAGGGAGCAAACAGTAATCCATCTAAGCAAAGCCATTTCCGCAGAGTGAGATGATTCATGATTTCATAAAATGAAGTTACAAATCCTTGGTACGTTATATATAAACCAAAAATCCTTTGTGCGCTTTAATCAAGACGAAGAGGCTACCTGCACTGGCTTCCTCCGTAGTACTTGAAAAGCTTCTGCTCTCATGGACAGAAATCTAAGGAACTTTTTGGTTAGTATGTTTTCAAGTTCATCCGCTTGTTTGACCTGCAAATTAACAATAACAAATATTTGTAACAGCACGACAAGACAAATGTTTAAGTCACGACTCTTTAAGATGTTATCCCGGGAGAGAAAGAAAGGAAACGGTGAAAAACAGAGAAACTGGTACATGAAAGAAAAACAACACAAAGCCTTTGTTGTACAGTTTCACCAATACCTCTTCATGTAAGTGATTGAAGGAAAAGCTAAGGTAAGATTAACAATTACCTTGAGGCTTATCCGGAGTGAATTTACAGATGTTTCTATTAGACACTTTTCAGCTTCATTACGGCATATTAAAACCTGCAAGTTGCATGAAAAATTAATAGTAAACTCCAAAACCTAGGTAAGAAGAGAGGGAAATATCAATGCTGAAATACACTTCTTACAGGATTTAGCAAAAGTTCTGGGCTCGTCCTACAAAAATTAGCAAAAACATGGTAATAATAAGATTCTACTACTTGAAATGGCAATGGCACAAGAGCATCCAATTCTCACATGCATCTTCTTGTAACAAGCTTACATACTTTAGTTCAACCTCTGGTTTATTATGCCTTTCAACTTCTTGACAAGGAAAGTTCTGCAAGTAGAGAAATATAGACACATTCAGGAATCTATATACCCCGTAAACCCGAATCTTACGAGGAATTTACGCCAAAGGTAAAAGTTATGATGGTACATTATCCCTAATTAACAAGTAATACACCAGAGGTGGAACATGGATGAGGGAGAACGCAAACATGAAACTTTTATTGCCTTAAACATACTAAAACCATAAAGATGTAGACTTTGAGACCTATGCCACGATATCTTGAATCAAAATAAATTGTACCTGTAAGCACATGGCTGCCTCGAGTGTATTTTTTATGCATGCTAGATACAGCCGTAATGAGCTTGCCTGGAACATCAAAGACCCAACAGAAGCAAATTTTAAACAACTTCTTCAATAACTAAGAATGCATTAGAATTTGTTTAGTTGTATTGTTTCAAAAAAGAGTATGTTTGAATGAAATTTAATCTTTGTCAATTATGAGGATGGCGGAGAATAAAAATTAGTGCAGAATAGTAACTGCTTATTTAAAAAAGCAGAGATCAAATTTCTTTTCAATATCGAGAGGGAGAGAGAGTGAATTATATTCAAAGTTCTTACCATGTTAAGGTACCTCTTAGAAAATGAAGTTTTTCTACTCAAGACTTGACCAAAATTAGGACTTTATCTTTCTTTTTGACGAATCGTTATGAGCTGAAAAAGTAATAAACAAGAAATATCTTTAGTATCATACAATTTTCGATATCCATTTTCCACGCTAAAAATCGACAAAAAAGGACAAAGCAAGAAAACTTTAAAAATCCATTTTCCACGCTAAATATCTTTAAGATCAAATTTCTACAAGAAAACTTAACCCGCAACAAATGAAAACAAGGACAAAGCAACTTCAGCACAGCAACTCTGTCTATGATCAGCGCAAATTGTGCGACATACAAGATCAGAGTTTCTACGTGATCAACCCGACGCAACAACTAGATCTTGATTAGCTATGATCAGAGGTGAAGAAGTTTCTACAAGAATGGAGACAATTATGTTTAGCACTCTGAGATGGACACAAAACTAGGTAAAATGAGAAAACTTACTTGTGGAAACGTAATAACACGAGGGATGCGAAAAGCCTAAGTGG